CAAATTGATTTATGGAGACATCAAAGAGCTGTCTAAAAGCATTGAAGATGCTGAGTCCAAACCATTGAATGTCTCTGATGATGACTTAACACCCAGAATTCTCCCTTATTTCGTTCAAACAATCAAAAAATACGGTAATTTTTTGTTTTCTTTTCATGTGGTTTTCTCATGCATCTGTTTTAGGGTTGATTAGTTCGAATTCACATCTGGAGTAAAGTGTACTTTCATTTCAAAGCCCAAACTCGAGATCTTTGATTAAGCTCTTGTTTGACCATAGATTTTGAAGTTGAAGCTTGAGAATTCAGTTTTTTAAGTTATGATTTTTTGAACTTCAAGTTGTTTTACTCGGAAATTGTTGATATTTTGTGACTGAAAGTGAAACTTTTCCACCAGTTTTTGGAACTTGGACATAGATTTTCAAAGTTTGTTTCAAATCTATGGTCAAACAGATAATTTTTCAAAAGTTTTGATCCAAAATCTATGACCAAACGCGAGGTAAGGATAGAGGAGTGCTTACCTGCCCACAACATGATCCAATGACTCAGCTACATTTAGTTTCAAATCCAACAAGTATTACGAGAATCTAGCTATAAATTTCAAATTCTAACTCTGCATCTTTCTATACTTGTGGAAAGTAAGAAAAGTTGAGCTAAGAATTATTGGACTTGCAATATTTTACAGGTAAAAACTGTTTTATATGGATTGGGCCAAAGCCTTTGGTAATTGTTGGGAACCCTGAGGTAATAAGGGATGTGTTTAACAAACATGCTCTCTATCAAAAGCCAAAATCAACTCCACTGATTAGGTTGCTGGCACAAGGAATTCTAAGCTATGAAGAGGATAAATGGGCAAAGCATAGGAAAATTCTCAATCCTGCTTTCCATATGGAGAAGATAAAGGTATTTTTTCATTCCTCTCCCTCCCAAAAGCATAATATATTTTCACGTAGGGCCGAAGCTAGGGGGGCAGAAGGGGTTCATTTGGATCCCCTTTGTTGAAATGTTAAATTTGTTTATTTTTACGTATGTATAGTAGATGTTGAATTTCCTTGGTTTCTTGGTGTGTTCAATTATTAACAGTTTAAGCTTTTGAATAAGATAGTCACACAATATGCAACAAAAAACCTCATCTCCATAACAGTATAAACAAAAATTACTTCACTTGTATTGATCATCACAAATTCACGATATCATTACCCCCCTCTATAAGCTCCCCTCCTTTTCGTTCCTTTGGTGAGTCGAACCCACAATCCTAGGTTAGAGGTGAGGGGTGCTTACCGTTTGAGTAACTCTCCATTTATCACAAATTTATGAATTATGATATCGACTCTGCTTTCATTTTGTTTTCCCTCTAGCTTGCAAATATGGCCAAAGTTTTTTTAGGAGACAATATTTCTACAAGATGCAGTTGGTTTAATTTGTATTAATGAGTTGTTTGAAAATGTGTAGGATATGCTTCACGCAGTTCATTTGAGCTGCAGTGAAATGGTGAGTCAATGGGAGGAGGCTGTCTCAATGAAAGAATCATCCACCGAACTCGATATATGGCCTTACCTTCAAAGATTGACTAGTGATGTTATTTCTCGCACAGCCTTTGGAAGCAACTATGAAGAAGGTCGAAAGATATTTGAGCTTCAAAAAGAACAAGCTGAGCATGTCATTGAAGTTTCTCGCACCTTATATATTCCGGGATGGAGGTAATACGACGTCGTTTTTCCATAGTGTATGTATTACAAAGTTCATATTTAATCTGTTGCTAAATGGTCCCTAGCTAACATATTTTTTGGTAATGGTTGCTAATCCATCCTTAAATAGGATCATCGACAAGTTTTTGTGGAATCTGTACGCCGCTAATACCTATGTTTGATGTTTCTATAGCGCCTTCAATGACAAGTTAAAATACATTGATAGAGTAAAAACTATTTACGCGTGTATATAACTTAAACCCTTCTTCCCTGTATCTATATCCAAATATAACAGGAAACGAAGTTTAAAATAGTGATTATTTGATGATGATATACATGTTTTGTTGTGTTAAAATAATGTAGGTTCTTTCCAATTAAGAGAAACAGAAGGATGAAGGAGATTGAGAGAGAAGTTCAAGCAACAATTAGGGGAATTATTGATAAAAAGAGTGAAGGGGATGAAAGCAGGGGAGGCCAATACTGATGACTTATTAGGCATATTGTTGGAATCCAACTTTAAAGAAATCGAGCAACACGGTAACAAGAATTTTGGTATGACTATAAAAGAGGTTATTGAGGAGTGTAAGTTGTTCTATGTTGCTGGACAAGAGACAACCTCTGTATGGCTTGTATGGACTATGATTTTGTTAAGCAGGCATCCAGACTGGCAAGTTCGTGCTAGAGAAGAGGTTTTGCAAGTGTTTGGAGATGGCATGCCAGAATTTGATGGATTAATTCGCTTGAAAGTTGTAAGTTATTTTAGCTTGTTTGCCTTCCTTTTAATTTCCATATCTCCGCAACACATGGTGTTACTTTTATTTAGCGTCGGATTAAGGATTTAAACTTAGGTTCTTTGCATTGAACTCATTGTTATACACTCTCCCTTTGTTCTATTTTGTGTGAAGGTCTTTTCTTTTAGTTTGTTCAGAAAAGAATGACACATTTAATCTTTAACTTTCCAATTACTCTTGATGGAACACTTTTATGGCCATAGAAATATCATGGAATGTTTATGATCACAAGTTTTAAAAATCTTTTTTTCTATTTAACTCCATGCCCAATCAAATAGTGAGTATGTGTGTGTTTATATCGTTTGTCGAAAATATTAGATTCATTTGAACCCGTTCGACATAGGCTCCATCAGCCTTTGGTTCTATGTTCTTGATTTCCTTATTACTATGCTAATTCAATGCTGAACTCATTTTAACAATAGGTGACAATGATTTTGCACGAGTCGTTAAGGCTATATTCACCGGCTAGTGCACTTGGTCGAACCATTACAACTAAAACAAAGCTAGGGGAACTAACTTTACCAGCAGGAGTGATGCTGTCTTTACCAACAATTTTAGTGCATCATGACAAGGAAATATGGGGCGAAGATGCAACAGAGTTCAAGCCAGAGAGATTCAGTGAAGGCATCTCAAAGGCAACAAAGGGCCAAATGACGTTTTTCCCATTTGGCGCGGGACCTAGGATATGCATTGGACTGAACTTCGCCATGATAGAAGCGAAGATGGCTATGGCTATGATTCTGCAACGCTTTGCGTTTGAACTATCTCCTTCGTACACTCATGCTCCACAGTCTGTAATAACTATGCAACCCAAATATGGTGCTCCTCTAATGTTGCATAAATTGTAAGTTGAGACTTACATGAAATGCGTTGCATTGAATTAATATCTATGTCAAACAAGCATAATTAAGTTAATATATATTGCAGCTTTGGTCTCTGCTTTCATTCAATCATAGGCTATATCTAATGAATGGAAAAGGCTCAGATATGTCATCGAACTTTGAAAAAAGGTTCATCTATGTCATGGAAACTTTGAAAAAAGGTTCATCTATGTCAATGTCACCCGTTAAAAGTTTGGTTCAACTATATACCATTTTTCATTAAATTAAGTACTTATCCATGTCATTATGAGTCAAATTTTAACGAATGACATAAATGAGTTTTTTCTCAAAGGTTGATGACTAAAGTGTTCATGGTTTAGATAAAAAAACGTACCAAACCGATTAAATAAATTGATGTTATTTGGATTTTGGTTTGGTTTTATATTTTCAAAAACCGATAGTATTTGGTTTTGTTTAAAAAACCCGAAGAAATAACCAAACTAATAAATTATATACATATATTTTATTATTGTACATGCATAATATATTATTTCTATAAATAATTTTATATATCTTATAAATGTTTTCAACAAATTTTATTTATAATTTATTTATGAAAGCTAAATCGCCCATGATGAGAACATTTATCTTATTTGTTTCATGTATATGAGTATCTATCGCAATTCTTGGTGAGACTAGGAATGTCATTGTCTCTTCCTTCTAGGTCAAAATGGTGAATTTTGAAGATTTATTCACAGTAAATTCAATGATCGAAAGTTCTGTAATGTTAATCATTCTAACTATTATTTTTCGTTTTGAATGAATTGTTGTCTTTTCTCTCTTTTGAATGAATCATTTTTTATATTTTGTGTATGGTTAATGACCGAATAACCGAATCGAACCGAATTATATTTGGTTTTGATAATTTAAAAATCAATTAAATTAGATTAATTTTGATCAATAATCGATCCAACCCGACCCCTAAACACCCCTATAGATGACATATTTGAACGTTTTCTTTTTAAAGAATGGTGAGCGACAAGATAATCTAGTTTATACATAATATCGGAACTGGTTATATAAATTCAAAAACTTTTGACCCAAAAATAAATGACTGATTATTTAAACCTCCCTAAATTTGACGTGTTTTACTAGAATTTTCACCTAAGCTATCAATCGTATTAATTACCCTATCAAATAAGTCAAGTTAATTTGGGGATACAAGACTATTTATAGTTAAGTAAATCTGAATAGAACACGCCAAATTTAAGTTGATCGGTTAAACAAAAAATTAAAAAAAATAGAGAATATAACATTGGTCAAAACACTAAAAAAAATTGATTTTTTTAATTAATATTTTTTTAATTTTATTTAACACAAGTAAAATTCCCAAGAAAGAAGAAAAATGAGTATTCAAAAATAAGCATTTGGTGAATGGAAGTTTTGTTTGCCAGAGGAAGCGTTATTTTCGCAACTCGCACCATTATTTACATGCATAAATTATGAGTCTCACAATTATACTACAGTTCTAATTGGGTCCCACCATGCTGCCATCGTTTGCTGTTTTAGCTTATACATCAGGCATAAGCTGGTGTACCTTGTGTCAATAGGGGAAAAAAACGTTTGCGATTCTCAAGTACTATTTCTCTCCCTTATAAAAGATTTTTCCCGCTACTCAACTTCTCAGTTCCCTCTTCTCTCTGTTTCTAGAGAAAGTGAAACAACTGCTGCTGAGCGTTTGGCCCCTCGCTCTCGCCGGAGAATCGGAAGCTCTTCGTTTTCCGGTAAACAACGAGAACTCCTCCTCCGTGTTTTTTTTCCGTCCAATTTATGTACAATTTTTGTTGTTTAAAAGTTAGTTTTATGATAGGAATGTATGATCAGTCGTTCTAGTTGATTATAAATTTTTGTGTTTCCCGATTTTTATCGCCGACTGTAATGATTTCGTCCGGTGATTGTCCGAGAGGAAGTTTTGGAACAAAAGAGCCAAATTGAGATTCTCTCATCGTTCATGTTTTTTTTGTGTGTGTATGATATGAGCTGTTTCTAAGCAAGTTTTATGAACTTGTATCGAAGGTTTTGACGGTTTTGTTCTTCGATTGCAAAAAAAATAGGTGATTAGAGTTACCGAGCTCTGACAAGTATAATCATAGAGACATGTCTGCAGATTCGATGCACAATCCAAGCTTAAATGAGGAAGGTATTTGTGTTTCCTAGTGTATATTTTTTTCTGCCATAATATCTTTGATAGACTGTTATCTGGCTGGATTTTTTTTGCTTGGGGTCAAATGCCTCAGCTAAGCCTCAATATACAGTGTAACTTAAGTGATATTTTGCCTCAGCAGAGCCTCAATATACAGTGTAACCTAAGTGAAATTTCCCAAGTTTTTTTACATAGTTGTTCTCATGACCTTTATTTGAGTGATGCATGACACCTAGAGGCTAGTGTTATCCTGTATATGAAACATGGTATGATTTGCATTGTCCAGTGGCGAAGCCTGAATATTCACTCGGGGCATTAAAAAATATAAAGAAGTAAACATACAAAGAAGTCAGGGGATTTAACAACTGCTATATTTGCGGTGCATTTTTTCTGCCCATGGCATTGTCAACTTTGCTGTTTAGTAATGTAATGTTTCTATTTTTGGTTAGTTGTTCACACAGCAGAAGTTTTCAATATGGTGAAACAAGAACAAATGGATGTAGTTACTGAAAAAGAGTGGGAGTATCGTGCATTGAAGGCAAGGATAGAAGAAAGGAAAAAAGACCGCAAGAAGAAACAAGAGGACAGACCAACTTTAATGTGGGAGACTTGGGAAGAAACATATGACAAATGGCTTGTGAAACACTTCGCAGATGATTTGGATAATCAGAATGAGTTTTTGTGTGAAACGGCGGAGCCATCATCAGATATGATTGTGCCATTGTTCAGGTACCAGAAAGAGTGGTTGTTTTGGGCACTTAAGCAAGAAGAATCTTCATCCAAAGGGGGTATTCTTGCTGATGAGATGGGAATGGGGAAGACCATCCAAGCGATAGCACTTGTGCTTGCTAAACGGGAACTAGGGAAAACAATTAGCAAATCTAGTTTATTGTCATCTTCATCCAGTACTAAGCAGGAACTCTCAGCAGTAAAAGGCACTCTTATCTTATGTCCTATGGTTGCTGTCCTTCAGTGGGTTACTGAGATCAATCGATGCACCATTGAAGGTAGCAACAAAATTCTTGTGTATCATGGTTCCAACAGAAGGAAACTTAGCCACGATATTGAAGAATATGATTTTGTCATCACCACATACTCCACTGTTGAGGCTGAATATAGGAAATATGTCATGCAGCCAAAACAAAAGTGCAAGTGGTGTGGCAAAGCATATTATGAAGAAAAGTTGCCCATTCACCAGAAGAGGTATTGTGGACCAGATGGTGTTAAAACTGCCAAGCAGTCAAAGAAGCAGAGGAAGAAGTTAAAACTTGACGGGGAATTGTTGATGCAGCAAACAGATTCTACTGAGTCAGAGACTTATTTGCAGATAACAGATTATATGGAATCAGAGACGAATGTGCAGGAAGAAGGTTCTACCCCGGAGACTGATATGAAGAAAACGGGTCGTAGGAAGTACATGAAACGTAGTAGCATGGCAGAAGAAGGAAAAAATGATGGTTCTATGGATAATCCATCCAGTGTAAATCAAGATTTGCCACAGAGGAAGTCAATTTTGCATTCAGTGAAGTGGGATCGCATCATCTTGGATGAGGTAAGTCAAGCCTTTGCATATGTGTACTTGTATATGTTGTTGCTTTCTTCAATTACCATTATGTCATAGTTTTTATTTGTTAGTATTATATGAGAGTGAAAATGGTTAGTTTCCTAATGATTCATTTGATATAAATACTAGTAGTTTCCTCACAGATGATCAAGTTATTTACAAATGCTTAAGAGTGAGGAACATTGATATCTGTAGTGCTATCTTAAGGACTTAGAATGTGAAGTACTGTATGGTTTATGCAGTCTGCGGAAACACTATTGTAACTGCTGAGTAAAATAGATGAATGTACCTACCTACCTCTAGGATGTTTCAGCTCATTGACATTTAATTAGCAGTATGAACGAAAATATCCTGATGCTCATGGTTATGCTCAATTGCTCATGTGAAATATTATCTGCAATTTTGGTTTGATTTCTATCTTCTATTCTTGTAATGAATCTGAACATTCTGTTCTCTCGGTTCCTACTGAATGCTGTTGTATACTTGTATTTGATTTGTAGTGTGTGCCTGTCCCAATCATCTCACTGCGTTCAGAATTTCATAATTGCATGTGATACAAAATCTTGTCTGCAATGTTTCAACTCATTTCACTTATCTGATACAGGCTCATTATGTAAAAGATAGGCGCTGCAACACGACAAAAGCTACTCTTAGTTTGAAATCTTCTTATAAGTGGGCCTTAAGTGGTACTCCGATTCAGAATCTTGTTGGAGAATTGTATTCACTTGTAAGTTCAACTTTTGCTGGTTATTGTCTTCCAAATGTTTGTGTTATGAGATTAATTAAATGCTTTACTTTTGCACAGGTCCGTTTCCTACAAATAGTACCCTACTCATTTTACTTTTGCAAGGACTGTGATTGCAGAACACTTGACTATAGGTAGTAATGCTTCACCTATCTTTGTACCTACCCCCTAGGGTTAAAGAAGTATGCTGCTCTAAATTTAATTTATAATTTATCTGTTCTTCCTTTTGCTCTTCGGCAATTGTCGTCTGAAACCTTTTATATTGTATATCCTTTGATAACTTTTGTCTTGCAGCTCTACATCCGAGTGCCCACAATGCCCCCACAAATCAGTACGGCACTTTTGCTGGTGGAACAGAGTAAGCTACAAATTTGATTATTCAAACTTTTGAGGCTCTATTATTGCCAAAAATAAATATAGTGCTGATATGGTGAGATTGATGCATCTTCTCTTTCTAGTACATTGCTACACCTATAAAACGTGAAGGAAGTTATGGGAGTGGTAGAGATGCGATGTTCCTTTTGAAGCATAAAATTCTAAAAAGCATCCTACTAAGGCGTAGTAAAAAAGGAAGAGCTGCTGATCTTGCTCTTCCTCTTAAAATTGTAAGTTTTGTCGGGCAGTAATGTAGTCTGATTTAATCTGATATTCTCTTTCCAGCTTATTTATTGGTTGTATATGGTTTCAGGTTACTTTGAGAAAAGATTCTTTGGATGTCATAGAAGAAGACTACTACACGTCATTGTACAATAAAAGCCAGGCACAATTTAATACGTATGCTATCTATCCTGTATATGCTATTCCAACCTTCTCTTTCTTGGTGACCGTTCTTGTTTGTCTGTGGTTCCTCAGTTTGGTGTCACCCTTATGTAGTGTTTCCCTATTGATGTTGTATCATGAGGCTGGCTGATTGATTTTGTCTTCTTGTCTTATGTGTTGACTACTCTCCTGGAGTATGTTCTGGAACATATTGCTTCCATTTCTTGTAATATTGATGATTAAGATCGCGTGCTTTCATTTCCCATCCAATGTGTTAGATCATGAAATATTGCTATCATCTGATTGCATTTATCCCCCCTCCCCTCTCTCTTTCTCTCTCATTGTGTCTGCTCTCTGTCAGTTTGTTTCTTTTTCTTCCTTTCTCATTTCTTCTCCTTACCTTTCTTCTCTCTTCTCTTCTCTTTGTCACCGTGAATTTTTTCCTTAATTATTTTTACCTTGCCAAAAGGTTAAAAAGAGATAAAAGACAATTTTAGCTTTAATTATATTTTTCCCTGTTGTGTTTTGTTGCAGTTATGTTAAAGGTGGAACATTGATGAATAACTATGCACACATTTTTGAGCTGCTTACACGCCTACGGCAGGTACCAAGATGATGTATAAATGCTTGAGATGCATGGAACCAAAATGTTCTTGATAATTGTAATGTACACCTTCATTCATATACTTGTTCGTTCTGATTGACTAGTTATTATCTGCCTCTCAATTTGATCTACCATGCACACTCTGCACCTTTTTATCTACAATCTCGATGTGATTTTCTTCCTTGCAAATGTTTTCACATTCAGCTACTTTTCCTTCGTTTTTCTTCAACTTATTTCGTATAAATACATAGGCAGACGTTGTGCAAGCTCTTTAATCTTTACTTTTTCTTTTTAATACTCGGCAACTTCTTTCATATTCACCTCTTTTTTTCCTATCCCGTTTTCTGGTGTAATTTTATAACCCTTCTGGTATTACATTATTTTTGCTTTGTTAAATTTTAGAAGTGATAACTTTGGAATGTTGAATGCGTACTTGGATGATAGCTTTTTTTTGCTGTTTAAATTTTTTGAAGTGGTTAACTTAGTATGGTTGAATGTGTATTTGGATGATAGCTTAATGGATAGTCAATACAATTTGTCATGGGAATTTAGGGACCACGAAATTAATCTGCACTCTATCAAAGTGTAGACTGGAGCATAGATTGGATTGCAGAACTTATCTGATGTGTAAATCAGCTTATCTGATGAGCCCTAAAGGTTATTTTAGCATATTCGTTTGCTCTTAAGTTTTGTTGTCCTAGTCTCTTTTGTGAACATAATTTTGAAGTGCCTTCCCTTCTTTATCATGCTTCACCCCAGGTATACATTTCGGTTTTTGTCACTTGTTACATGCTGTTGGTATTCACTTTTCTTTTTGCATCTTCCAATCATGCCTCTTGAATAACAGGCTTTAAAATATCAGTTGAAACTTGTAATAAAGTAGGCAACTATCTAAAATATGCATGTGTGTGTTTTATTACTGGTCCATCTTCAGCCAAATTTTTATGCGGTAAATGTCTGATTGATGTCTTTTCTTTAATCGGCAGGCAGTTGATCATCCTTATCTTGTGGTGTACTCGACTACTGCTTTGGCTAAAATGGCAAACTCTGGAAATGTTGAGCAACCTTGTGGCTTATGTCATGATGCAGTAGAAGATCCAGCTGTGAGTTTATACACACACCCCCCCAAAAAAAAAAAAAAAAAAAGGAAGAGAATCTTCAGCTACTCCATCTGTTATTTCCATTTTGCCAGAAACCTCTTGAAGTTAATGAATATCTGGGGGAGCATTTTCCCAGTGCACCAAAAACATTTTTTCCAGAGTGTGTTTTTTATTATCCTTTGAATACCTAAAAGCATTTATCAAACTCTTCTGGTGGCATGCTAAAAGTCCTTCTTGATTGTTGCAGGTTACTTCTTGCATGCATGTCTTTTGCAAGACGTGTTTGATAGAGTTTGCTGCAAGTGTTAGACAAGTGCCATGCCCTCTGTGTTCTGAACTACTTACAATTGACTTCACTGTAAATATTGATATGGTGGATCAGAATTCTAAACAGACTCTCAAAGGGTTTAGATCCTCAAGTATACTGAACAGAATTCAGCTAGACGATTTCCAGTCCAGCACTAAAATAGATGCTTTGGTATGAAATTACCTTCTCCTCTATGATATTTTCCTCGAGCTGTTTTTTTTCTTTGCATTGTAATTTTTAAACTTCTCACAATCAGCATGCAGGTGTCATACCACGTCATGTAAAGGCAGTGAGCCACTACTTATAATTGTAGGGCTTACAGTCATCTTAATTACTGGAATTAGCTTATGATGCTGTACATTTATGTATTTGCATTGATGCTAACCAACATATTCTTGTCAATTTAGTAGTGTTTCAATTTGGCATATAATTTGAAGCTTATGGAGTAAATATTTTCCCGCTTTGAAGTGCGCAAAGATGGAGGAATCTCATTCTTATCATTTTCTATTCAGATTGATCTTTAAATCTTCTATTATTATTTTGTGTAGTATAGCTACAACACCATTATTTTGGTACTCTCTTTGTTTCAATTTATGTGACAGTCTTTTCTAATTGGAACTACACTAGAATTTGGACTACACTAGAATTTGACATCAATTCCCTAGTAGTATTATGTTCAACCATCAGTTTTCAAACATTTATTTCACTCAAATACTCAAACTCAAGTTTGATGTGATATTTTTTAATTAGACTTTTCAACCTTTAATTTATATTTCTTCCATTTCTATTGATTAATAAAAGTGAAATTATATTGGCATCTCAAAACTTAGTATCCAATACAAAGATCCATCTTGAGATTCAATGTGAGAGGTTGTGTATGAAGTACCCGAGTGGTTCTCATTGCTTGTTTTTATTGATTCCAGAGGGAAGAAATTAGGTTCATGATTGAAAGAGATGGTTCTGCAAAAGGAATAGTTTTCAGCCAGTTCACATCGTTTTTGGATTTGATACACTATTCTCTTCAGAAGGTAAGAGAAAAAGATAGCTTAGCTCCCTTCCTACTTTTCCCTCCTTTATTTTTGAAAACAAGAAAAGCTCACCTTGTGTATTTTTCAGTCGGGCATCAATTGTGTTCAATTAGTCGGATCTATGTCTATTGACGCAAGAGCTGCAGCAGTTACCAAATTTACTGAGGATCCAGATTGCCGGATATTTCTTATGAGCTTAAAAGCTGGAAGTGTTGCACTCAATCTTACGGTTGCATCACAGGTAGGATGTCTCATTCATTTCTGTCTAGATCAGATGTGGTAACATTTTCCAGATCTCCTGTTATAATTCGTTCAACATATTCCGACTTCACTTGAAGAACCAGCTTAATTACCATTATCACATGTATCTATATGTTGGATAAGTGCCCAATTCATGTCATGATAGGTGGCTTCTCTTGCCTATGCTAGGTTTTCATGATGGATCCTTGGTGGAATCCTGCTGTGGAGCGCCAAGCACAAGACCGAATTCATCGAATAGGGCAATATAAACCCGTCAGGTCTGTTTTGCATTTCTTGTACTTTTTATGTCATTGAGTGGAGCTTATTTTTTCTTTTCTCATTTCTAGGATTGTGAGATTTGTGATTGAAAATACAGTTGAAGAGAAGATCTTAAAGTTACAGGAGAAGAAGGAACTTGTTTTTGAAGGGTAAGTGAGTTTTTCTTGTAGTAGATGGTTGTATTTGTGTTCTGCTAAGAAATAGGAGATTAGTTGTAAGTTGAAGTGATTTTCAAATGCATTATTTGTTGGAGAAGTTTCTAGAAATTATCTTTGTGAAGTAATTTTCTTTGAAATTCTGTAACTATTAGGTGTGACTCTTGATGAGAATCATTATCTTCCACCATGTAGGTCAAGGGTTCAAATATATGCACAAGTAGCTTCCCCTTCCCCTTCCGCTTTGTGTATTTACAGCTCATCCTACTTATCTACATTGTTTCCCTGTGCTGATTTCACAATCAATTCTTTGCTATAACAGTTGTTTGTAAAATCACTGTGCAACTTCCTTCTTCATCTATGATTTTCCTTGCAGTAGAGTAATTATGAGAGATGGCACTCATCAGTTTAATTCTAACTAGAGAAGGCCATCTCAAAGCGGCTGGAAGCTGCCCCACTTTCTTCCTTGCTCTAGGGTGGAGTTAGGTTTCGAGGGGGTTCAAGTCCTAGTCAGAATAAGGAAAAACGAGGGTTTTTGGTTGTATATAAACTACTGAAATTTCCTTGTGTTAAGGGAAAAAATTACTCTAGTGGCAAAGGGGTTCACAAAATTGCACTAATTCATAGGTTCAATTCCAAATTGTTTCCTATTGTGTTGCTCACTAGCTTCTTGCTTCAGTGTCTGGACACATTACATAAGTCCTAACTTGCTTCCCTAGTTGTAAACAACATCACTTTACATGCCAGAATATCTTGTAATGCCATATTCTACATCTTGTGTTCTCCACAAATTATTGATTTATCTTTGGAAAATGATATCATATCTTGAGTTCTCTTCGGAAAATTGGAAAATGCCAGTCAAGTTGAGCTTTACTTGGACAAGTTGGCTTGTATGTTTGAAGTGTCTCAGACTGCCTGTCGGGTCTGGTGGTTGTTATAAAATCTTGCCAAGATTTGGGAGCTGTAGAAGTTGGTGTGGCTGTTGTATGCTCTTTGCTTCCTCTTGTTGCAAGCCAAATAGTTCTGCCATCTTCATTCGTATACTGCTGTTAGGCAGTGTCAATAATAATTTTTTATATTACCCAGTCCCACTGTATTTAGCTCTTTTGCTACCTCACCCCTTCCACCCTGTGCAATAATTAGAAAAAAAGTTCAGAAATAATTGATGAGAAAAACCATTTGATGATTTTCTCATTCAATGATTCAAATAATTTCCAGATATAAACTCAATGATAATTTTCTAAACATGTCAGAGCACCTTTCTGTTTTACATTTGCTTTCTATACGCTGTCTCTCTCCATTCCCAAACACACCAAAACATTTCTCCTTTTTTTACCTCGACATACTTAAGTTTCTATCGTTATTGCAGGACAATTGGTGGCTCTTCAGAGGCCTTTGCAAAGCTAACTGAAGCAGACTTGAAATTCTTGTTTACAACTTAAATTGGTTGATATTTTGCTCTTTAGTTCAAGAAGCAGATTCACTTTTATTTTTTGCTTTTAGAACAAAGTTTGTTCATAGACTAGTCGTCTGCTGCCCATGCTATGTATATATACTTCTGAATTTAGCCATATCCCTTTTGGATTGTCCAGGAAATGTCGCTTTTGCATCACCATCATTAGCTTATGATCTTATTCCAGTCAAAGAGTGAACAATTAACTAAATCTGGGCAGAGTATCTATGTGGTTCCCTTTTCAGCACAATCAAATTTCTGATTTCTTGGCACTGTTCATTTCTAGAAATCTAATATTTTGATTATATCTATAATTAATGTTACCAAACGACTTTAGCATAACCCTTATATAAGTGATCCTATTCTTGTTGATGTTCTCATGCTTCAGTTAGCATCATCGAGATGGCTCTTTCAAGTTACTTTTGGAAAAGTTATAAGCATCTTCATATTTATATATAAACTCCGCCACCTATGCAGGTGGCTTGAGCATAACCCTTGGTACAGCGGTAGACTTTGAGCATTCTAATTACTCAGCATATCCTAAAATAATTCTCTTTTATTATTTTCCTAATCTTCCTTTTTGTGTGCCCTACTTTGCGAATTGCGATGCACCATATTCGATCGAGTAACATTTGGTACTCAAGGATACAACTCTTTCCAGTTTTATGTTGGCAAGAGTACTTTTGATTAAATAGTAAGAGGTACATCAATGGCGTTAAACTATCAACTCAGTGTAAGAAGTAGAGTGAATTAACATATAACTCTTGGTTGTCAAAGAAAGGAGAAAATGATCAAAATAGTCCATCATATATAGGTGTTGAATTATTTTGGTCCTTTATATATACCATCTTATTCAAATAGTCCTTTATGTATATATAAAGAGTATCATTTTGGTTCTAACCCTAAAAACTAACTGAAAACATAAAAACAACCGTTAACTTTAACTGTGGGCCCCACACTCTTCTTCCTCCCTCTTTCTTCCGCCATTGCTTCTCCTTCATCTTCTTTCTTTTGCCATTTCTTCTATGATTTCCGCTCCCAAAATCTCCTCATACACACAAAAGTTTCTTCAAATTTCAAGAATATTCGTAAGGTTTTTGTTTTCTATCTATGCCCGTGAAATATTTTACCATTTAATTTTAAAAATAGAATGAAAAAAATGACTTGAAAAAATTACTAATTTTGAAAAGGAAAAACGAAAAGAAAGCTATAATCCTCCCCATAGATCGCTTCTACAAGAGAGAATAAATGGAGTCTTTTATTTGATTTACTTAGTTTACATTTGTTTTAGTGATCTTGGTTTTCTTCTTCTTCATGTATGATAATGGAAGCTTCTGAAAAGTTTGTTTCCATGGAGATGAAAAATGGGTGAGGTGTGTAGTGTTTTTCTTATGAGGATATGAAGCAGGAGAGAAAATGGCAAAAGTAAGAAGTTGAGGAGATGGGTCTGCGGTAGTAATGGTGAAAGAAAGCAGATTGAGGAAGAAGAGTTTGCTATTTGTCACTTCTGTGGGACCCACTGTTAAATCTAACAGTTTTTTGGTTAGTTTTAGGGTTAAGGACTAAAATGATCCTCTTTTCATATACATTAAGGACTATTTAGATAAAGTGATATATATAAAGGATCAGAATAATTCAACCTCTATACATGAATGACCATTTTGGTCATTTTCTCTCAAAGAAAGAGTTCAGAATGATTAGATGTTTGTAGAAGTTATTGGTACAAAAACTCTATGGTTGTGGATTGAGTTACTAAGAGATCATCATTCAATATCTTATATGGGCACTGTTCATATGGATACCATGTCATCTCAGAATATTTAGTTTTTTTTAGTGGGAATTAGGAACTTTTTTGAATGTTCTCTACATCGAAAAAATGGTTTTCAGCTTAAAGTTCAGGAAATGATCTCAATTTAAGGATTTTGACTAGATTTTTTAAAAAAAAAAGGGAAATAAAGTAAGTTTATCCTTTCAGTTTGACTTGTTTTTCACTAGGACTAGTTAGAAATAGGCATGCTTAGCTCAACATTACATGTAGACATAATTGATGGATTAAATTGTTTTAAGGTACTTCAAATTATGATAGCAAATACGTTGAGGTCATAAGGTGACATTCATATATGTGTAGTCCAGATGGGAGAATGTTAGAATTTTTTATGGACTTACATAAATTCGTGAAGATTTATATCACTAATTTGGGGTTATACGTAATTTCAAAAGAAAAAAGAAGAAGAGATAACTAATAAATATCATGCCTAAATTAAGTCAAGAAATACACTAATTAAAAGATGTACTTTTAAATTTAAAAACAACAATAAAATAAATAATATAGATATGAATTATAATTTTTTGAAAATTATAAATATGTATAAAAATACATTACGCATTTTTACCTTGCTATGTTATTTATGTGTGATAGGCTATTTATGTCAATTTCAATAGGTGAAAAATAGGTTGAACTTAGACCCATATTCTAAACCTAAAACCCAAACCCATATTATGGATTCAATTTACGAAATTAGTGCGACTTTAGTCTTTACATCTTTCTCTTTATAGCTTCGCTTCTCTCTTCACTCAGCGCCCCCCTCTCTGCCCTTCTGATTATCGCAGACAAGAGAAGAAGAAGAAGTTAATAAGCTTCTCACCAGCTCTCCAACCGCAACTGCTCTCTCTCTGGTACTGTTCTTTTTACTTACTTTTTTTTTTTGCTGAGGTAAGGGGTTTATAGGCCAATTACCTGTTCGGTTGTTTCTAATTGCGTAAGAAGAATTTCATTTAGATTTGACGTGAAAGAGTTGAAGCACCTACCTGTAAGCCAGTGGCGGAACCAAAAGTTTTACTTTGTGTGTCAAAATATAAAAAAGTAGACACACGTTGGAAACAAAGGAAGTCTACATATAGTATATATATAAAACTAAAATTTTGACATAGCTAAATAGTGTAATTTTTGGTGAAAGCTGGGGCTCGGCAGCAGAATTCTCAACATTAGCTAAATATATTTGTTTTTGTGTGTGATAAATAAAATGAGCTATTCTGAAATTAAAAAAATAAATTGTTATATGATTATTAGTTTAGGTAGAGATATTGATGGAGGCTATTATTGATTCTTGTGATATAAGTTCGTGAAAAGGCAAACTTCTGTTGTTATTTGGGATACTTATGTGAAACAGCGTTCGTAACAGTGAGGGAAGGTTAAAGCAAAGAGCAGAATGCAAGATTTGTGGTAAAATTGATATGGCAGGTTGTAAGGTTGGCACTTTAAAATTGAAGCATTATACTTTTAGTTTTGCAGAACATAAAGGAATAGGGACATCCACTTGTATTTAAAATCATACTGTAAAGACCATATTGAGAAATACAGCTAAGTCATATATTTTGAAGGTATGCACAAGGGAAAAAATGTCTGAAAAATGAGCTTAAGCATGAATGCGCTGAACAACCTTGATGTATCTGGCCTTGAAGTTTAAGTTGTTATTTTGGGATTTAGATCGTTGCTGAAATAATTGTTGCAAGTCTCCCAGTATGTTACTAAATTAGCTTGAAAAACAGATGGACTTGTATTGGGGCAAACTGCAAAGAGACACGTTTTGAAGTTTGCCAGTATGAGTTGATTTTATGTTCGAATTAGTAATTGGAATGCAGAAAATTAAACAAATAAAAAGATCAAGCACAAAATTTGCTAATAGATACTGAAGCTAAATTAGCTTTACAAAATATAGGTTGACCCATGCAACCCATTTCAACCCGTATTAAATATGGTCTGGTTGGTTTGAACCTATTTTTACTCAACTCATCTTCAACCTGCCCAAACCCATCCCGGCCATTTGTCAGCACCAGTGTATTCTAGTTTTCGCTTTAAAAAGAATTAACTTCCTGAAAATTTAACCGACTTAACTATAAAATTCTTTGGTGCGTCACATAGTTTTAAGTACTTTAGATTATAGGAAAGGGTTCTGTTGATTTTTATTTGTGGTGCAAGTTTTGGATGTAAGCTTCTATACTGTCTGTGTCTGGTAGGTGCTAGCTATGTTATTTGTGAAGGATGCTGACACTTTTTGTTGCATCTCAGCTAAAATGGCTGGTCCCAAACTCGGTAAGAAAGTGGGTTCTAAATTAGGGAAACCCCCAACCAAGAAGAAACAGAAGAAGGAACCTTTGCCACCTAAGCCACTGGAAAAGGAGGATCTTTTTAGTGACGATGAAGGAACTGATGGAGATTTTGAAGAAGATGGAGGTTCTGGTGATGAAGAACAACAGGAAATGAACTCAGATTCTGACATGTCTTCTGACTTGGATGACACCTTTGCTGCTGATATATTAGCAAGCGGTGATGCTGGTACTGTCTTTAGTGCATTGGTATTCCAATTTTAGCCATCCATCATGATTGATGACTCACTAAACATTTTTCTTCGCTTTGTCATTTATGTTGCAGACGATGGTTCCGATGTTCATTCAGATTCGGATGTAGATTCTGATTCAGATGCAGATGATACTGATCTTGTAAGGAAGTCAAAAGCTATTGATGATGAAAGGAAAAGAGAGGAGGAGGATGGTGATTTAGAATTGCAGCTCAATATTAAAGAAGAAGCTGATGAGTTCAGACTGCCAACAACTGAGGTTTGCATAATGTTCAAGTTCTTGATTAGAGGTTTTACTTGTCAGATACTCATGCAGGGAAATTTTTTGAATGCTAAATATGTCATTTTAACTTTAGGAGCTCGAAGAAGAAACAAATAGACCCCCGGATCTCTCTAATCTCCAAAGGAGGATAAAAGAGAGTGAGTTTCTTTTCCTTCATCTTCTCTTTCTGAATTATCTTTCTTCGGAGGAAGTAAGTTTCTCATTCACATATAATAAAATAAATGCAGTTGTTCGGGTGCTTTCAAATTTCAAGTCATTGAGGCAAGAAGATGTGACACGTAAGGATTATGTTGATCAACTTAAAAGGGACTTGGGTTCATATTATGGATACAATGATTTTCTCATTGAATCGTTAGTGGAGGTAATTCTAAGTCAAAGTAGTCTAGACTCTGCACCTTTTGCCTGTTCAAGTTGCACTTTCATTTAAATATGGATGTCTTGATATGTGACCTTACTGCAGCTGTTTCCCCCTGTTGAGTTGATTGAACTTATTGAAGCATTTGAAAAGCCCCGGCCAATTTCTCTGCGGACAAACACTTTAAAGGTCATGGTTTCTCTGCCTCTTTTCTTTCTTTACCTTTTGTTGCCCTAATGGTTGACTCATAGTTTATTG